GGCGGGGGAGGGGAGTCAAAAAAAAGTTGTCATTTAAACTGATTTCCCCACAAATCTGTCCAAGATATTTCCTGTTTCCCAACTCTATCAGCATCTAGACAAAATATTTTAACCCTTTTTTAAAAATTTTGAAATTCATAAGGTTAGGTTTCTGGCAGTATACATACCTGTTTAGGTGATGTGTGCAAATGTACTCGAATCTGTGAACCATACTAAATATGGGGAAAGGCAGTCTTTAATTTTAGAATAATGTATCATCAGACTGTCTGTGAATTTATGACCAGCAAAAGTCAAAAATAAGAGCAAGATGATCAGAAGGATACGACATGCAAGGTAATCCATCACTTCCAATGTCATCTTCATCAGGTACCCCTAAATAACCAGTTACTCGAAGGTTTGATGAGTGCCAAACGTAATCGATGGTATGTTTGACTTCTCCATTTGGTCGCTGTTTGTAAGTAGTAAAATTCGGTTCGTTTTGGCTTGCTGTTTTGTATGCACTTTGGAAAGAATAACTATTATTACCTTCTTCCATAACACTATATACTGGTTCAGAGGGCTCTGCATTAAAATCACCACAGACCAACACCTCAGGATTTTCACTTTCAACAAAGTTTGTCAAAGATTTAAGAATACTTTTTGCTTGAGCAGCTCGTAATTCCTCAAATCCTGGTTTGGCTTTTAAGTGTGTAACCACACAGCATAAACCTTTCTTTTCTTTTTTGTCAAAAAGTTTCACAAGCAAAGCTACTTGGTTTGTTGTTTTGTCTTCTTGATCAAGTAATGAAATCTCTTCTGACTCCTCCAATTTGAACCTTTCTTCGTCAAGGAAGATTGCACAGCCATCTGGACCAGAATTATCAGCAAATTTTAAGCAAGGTGAGTCTTTCTTGGGAAGAAAGAGTCCTTCATAGCCAAGTTCTTGTAGTTTAGGGAGGTAGAAATCAGAAAAATGGTCAACTTCTTGCAAGCATATAATATCAGGGTTGTAGTTGAGGATTTCTTGGAAGCTACGGTGCTTTCTGTTGGACCATGCTAATGCTTGAATGGGACACTTGATAAAGTTAGAGGTGGAGCTGGACGATGATAATGCTGAAAATGATAATTATAATATTTGAAGTCATTAAAGACAGACAGACAGACAGACAGACAGACAGACAGGTAGACAGAAAGTTCAAAGACAGACAAGAAATATTTTTTTAAAGACAGGGAAACAAATTAAGAAAGAAAATAAATGAATGAATGAAAGAATGAATAAATGAATGAATTATTGAATGAATGAAAGGACAAATAGGTTACAGATAGAATGTTAGATAGACAGATCATAGCTAATAGAGAAAGATGATAAATGAAAAGATGGGAAGATTGACAGAGAGACAAATTAAATTATCAATGTTGAAGCAACTAGCTACAAACGTTATAGCTTTAGCTTAACTTGAAGGCTTTGCAAGCTTAAAAGGTATCTTACGCTGATGCATGTGCTGCTCAACTGATCTGAACGATTGAACTCTAAAATGTTCAAAGGGCAACATAAACACTCCAAAATAAATGACGGAATAAGGATATTTCGACATTTTCTTTGATCTTTTAGACATCTTACCATCAGCCAGCACATTCCACTGCATCACGCGAAATTCAGAACTTTCTTGAGAAACCCCAGCGTACTTAGTAAGAATAAAAGACCTCTCCAGTAATCCTGGAAAGTTCTTGACTTCTAATTCAGCCAATTTGATGGCTTCTTTTCTCAGTTGAAGCATTCCGCTAAAATCTTCATCCGCCATCTTTAGCGTGTTCGCAAAATAACCCAACTGTGGGGGGGGGGGGGGGGGGGTAGGTTTGGCTAGAACATTCATTTCTAGATATTTAGATCATAACTATTTATGCCAATTAGATAAAGTAAGAATGTATCTAGTCATTTATTTTATATTGTGCTTTGATTATAACACAAAGTACGTATTAATTACTAGAGCTTAAATAATTTTGTTTGGTACCCTCCCTAGATAGTTTTTTTAGGGCTTATCTCGTGGAGAGCTCGTGGAGAATACATGCTTATTCGGATGATGTTCGTAAGGGTTCGGGATCCAAACGTAGGATAGGAACCCCTCAGTTGGAACGAAACCCGTGACAAGATCATTGAAAGATCATTTTAGACATTGATCTTTGCCTTAAACCTTTTCTTTTATTCGCGTGAACCGTATAAACTTGTCTTCAAAGTGTTCTAACTAGTAACCATGACTTGCAAGTGCTCTCTTCTATGTCTATCTATAGCCTTGGCTTTCATTGGAGCTGCTTTCTTAGTCACTGGCTTGGTTTTATGGCTAGATGGAATCTTTCAAAACATCATTAATAAAAAAGTAGATGAGGTTAGTAAATTGGTTGGTAATAATTTGTGTGATTTTCATCGATAATTCATTATACATTATGGATTACGAAAGCTATAAAATGCTGAAAAACTTTTTAAAAGAACTTACATAAGCTTACTGTATCTTATATAAGCTTATTATTGTGAGTTTTGTTTATATATTTTCTTTGTTTGAACGATTTTCTAGAGCATCATGCTGAAGGAAGGAGGTCTGGTTTTCAAGCAGTGGCAGGAACCAACATCGCCCATTTTAATGCAATATTTTTTCTTTGATCTGAAAAATCCACAAGAAGTTTTTGAGGGCAAAGGAAAACCATTTTTATCACAAAAAGGTCCATATTCATACAGGTACTGAATATATATAATACAATATTTGTAGTCGGAGGGGGTTTATTGTTTTAATATTTGACGTCATTTTAAAACAATGATAAAATGTTTCTGAGCTATTCTCCAATAACAACTCAGGAATTGACTTTTTGAAATAGGTCAATTAAATTTTTTTTATAATATCAAAGATAGAAAAGTATATTCAAGGGCATAACCAGGAAGGCTGAGGGAGTCAGCCCCCCCCCCTCCCCCACCTTGTGACAGCTTTCTAGATTTTATACAGTATTTTTTTTGTAAAAATATAACTTAAATTGTAAAGCTTTTCAGGGGCACAAACAAAATAGCTGGATTTTTAATTTTGCCAACCACCCCCCCCCCTCAAAAAAACCTGGCTACACCCCTGATATTATAACTTTAATATCCTAATACTACCAAAAGCTGTTAGGTTTCATAGCACAGTCTGCTAAAAGATTATATTGTGCCCATGCAAGGCTTTCCATTTTATTGCATAGTATTTTGGGAGGTGTCGATTTTCTATTCCTCGATTAATTTCTTCAGGGAAATGAGAAGCAATCACATTAGGAACTGGACCAATGGCAACACAGAGGTCATATTTATGCCAAACAGAACCTATATATTTGATCCAGAGACCTCGTGTGAGGGATGTAATGATACACTGGATACATTCACTACTGTTAACATTCCACTTCTGGTAAGAATTTTTAATCTCATGCATTCAAAATGCAAACCGGTTGGCTCAGTTGGTTGAGCATCAGACTTTCGTGCAGGAGGTTGTGGTTCGAGTCCCGGCCGGACCAACACTCAGGGTCTTAAAATAACTGAGGAGAAGCTGCTGCCTTTGTAATTACATCTACAAATGGTTAGACCTTCAAGTGGCTCGGATGACCACTTTAAAAGGTGGTCCCGTCTCTCCACACTCATTATTACTAACCAACATCGGAGAGATGTAAAATAACCACTGAGGAAGTAAATAAACCCTGGCAGTGACCACCCCCAGTGCCTACACTTCATACTAACCATCTCTCATGCTTGTAAATTGCACAAAAATCAATCTGTCATTAACAACTCAATGTAAAGCGCCTTTGATTACATATTCATATAGAAAAGGTGCTATATAAATTCATAAATCATTATCATTATCATTAAATCAACAATAGAGTATGCCATAATAAACATCATAATAATTTGAGTAAAACATTGCTATATTAGGACTGTGTATTATAAAGTGAAGACATACAGATAATACAGAATGTTGTATCTATAAACCAATCAATGCATTCTTTAATTTTTGTAAAATTGTTGTTTTCTTTTCTCATATAGGCACTAGCCAAATGGCTGAAAGACACAAATTACTCAAATGTGCACCCAATCTGCTTAACTCTTCTTAAAGGAATTATTGGTGGCCTTAAAGTGAAATTGTTTCAGAATAAAACTGTGCATAAAATGCTTTGGGGGTATGAAGATGAAATGCTGAAATTGTTGAAAGCTTTCAGTAATCCTTTGTGTCCAGTAAAACCAGGAATTGATCCATTCATTCAACTACAAGTAAGTGAATATATCTTGGAATCAAGGATGGTGTGGCAGTAGTGCACTCACTTCTTGCCTCTAGTTTGTTGCCTGCCTGCCTGCCTGCCTGCCTGCCTGCCTGCCTGCCTGCCTGCCTGCCTGCCTGCCTGCTTTCAAGCAAGAATAATATTATCACAGACATTTTTGCTTGGCAATAGATCTCCATGTCACATTAATAGACAAGATAATTTTTTTAAATCTTCACAGTACAATAATACCTACTTTGGGATCTCTGCAATCAATACTGGGCAAAAAGATATTGACAAACTAGAACAGTACACCATGTGGAGAGATGCAAAGTAAGTTGATATTAAAATGTCAAGGAGTAAACTTTAGGCATGAATGTGTTAGGTCTCTCCCACACTTGGAAAGTTTTCTGGCAGTTCGTTGTGGAAAGGGAAGGGGAGGGTCAAGGGCGGATCCAGACAAAAAATATGAAGGGGGGGGAGGGGGGGTTGCTTGACCGAATTTTGTGAACGACACTACAGAACTTGGAACAAAAGTTTTTTAAGAATATGCTTATTCTATTCTTTGATCAAATAAAACTATATAAGGCTGAAGCTGGGGAGTGGGGCTATTGTGTGAATATTGAATGGGTAGAACTTATTACATATAGTGGCTTGATTAACCCAACAAAAATGAGCGCTCTCCAACAGGATTGGCTTCATAGCTCAGTTGGTAGATTATCGCACCGGCATTGCGGAGGTCATGGGTTCGATTCCCATTGAAGCTTGAAATCATTTTTTCAAGTCTTTCTTTACAGTCTTTCTTTTCTTTTCATTCACTGTGATGATCAACACATCTATCATAACTAGCTTTTAGAGAAGCATATTATTGTTAACACAATATCTAATATTTGTCCTTAGTAAATTGTCGTGGTGGATGGATAACTATACAAACATGATTAATGGAACAGGTTAGTGACATCTGGACCCAACTACAGCATTCAAATTTAACTGTAGACTAATATAGATACAAGGACTATGGTACTGAATACTACTGATTGACAGTCGTCAAAATGCTAGTTTGCAAACGAGACATTGAACTTTGTGGGTTGTCTTCAACAATAATACTATGGATTCCACTACGCCCATACTTGTATGCTAACACACACATAGTTGTAAGTTTCATTGATAGGCAAGACTAGGGCAACTCAAAAATGGAAGTAAATATGTTTGAAATTCTGAGACAGTGAAAGCGAAGTGGACATGTGAGCAGACAAATGTGGACGTGGCAGCAACATGAGTTTTTGATGGCATATTGTAAAACATTGACTGGACTGGACTGGACTGGACTGGACTGGACTGGCCTGAAAAAAATCTGTAAAACATGGACTGGACTGGACTGGACTGGACTGGACTCGAAATCTGTAAAACATGGACTGGACTGGACTGGACTGGACTCGAAATCTGTAAAACATGGACTGGACTGGAATCGAAATCTGTAAAACATGGACTGGACTCGAAATCTGTAAAACATGGACTCAAAATAATAAGCTTAAATAACCAGAAATGACTTCACGACTTCAGCTTATTATCTGTAAGCTTGATTATACATTGGAAAAAATTGCCCATACATTTGGAATATTTGCTCTTTTCGATCTTTTTCCTCTCTTTCCAAAGCAATAGGTCGTCCTTAAAAGTAAAGTTATATAGCACAAGTAAACTGCGTGACACGACATCCTAAATGACCCGTAAATCTTCTGTTCTTTCGCTAACTACCGTAGTTAGCTTGTTTTCGAGCCAACAGATAGTATGAGCTTATAAAATCAGCCAAAATACGGTTCCAAATTTTATCAAATTGCTATGAATTATATACCAAAATGTTCAGGAAAGCCCGGGGTTTTCAATTCCACTTCTGTTTTTTTGACAGGTTCTGTTTTATTTCAAGGAGAGACGATTTTCTAGCTTGACCCCGGTTATGTCATGCATTTTCTCTTGTGTGTAAAATACATCCAATAGCGTACATTCAACATCAAAAAGTACGGTGGTTTTTTCAATAGAATTCAATCTAAACCGTATAATACAGTCCGTGAATAGTTGAATTAACTGAATCCACTTCTGTTTTTTGCCTAGATAGTCATTATTTTGAAAAAACAGAAGTGGAATATGAAAACCCCGGGCTTTCCTGAACATTTTGGTATATAATTCATAGCAATTTGATAAAATTTGGAACCGTATTTTGGCTGATTTTATAAGCTCATACTATCTGTTGGCTATACATTTGCCTCTTATGGTTTCTTAGGTTTTGTAGCCTCGAAAACAAGCTAACTACGGTAGTTAGCGAAAAAACAGAAGATTTACGGGTCATTTAGGATGTTGTGTCACACAGTTTACTTGTGCTATATAACTTTACTTTTAAGGACGACCTATTGCTCTGGAAAGAGAGGAAAAAGACCGAAAAGAGCAAATATTCCAAATGTATGGGCAATTTTTTCCAATGTATAATCAAGCTTACAGATAATAAGCTGAGGTCGTGAAGTCATTTCCGGTTATTTAAGCTTATTATTTTGAGTCCATGTTTTACAGATTTCGAGTCCAGTCCATGTTTTACAGATTTCGATTGCAGTCCAGTCCATGTTTTACAGATTTCGAGTCCAGTCCAGTCCAGTCCAGTCCAGTCCAGTCCAGTCCAGTCAATGTTTTACAGATTTTTTTCAGGCCAGTCCAGTCCAGTCCAGTCCAGTCAATGTTTTACAATATRCCGTTTTTGATGTCCTGCCACAGGTCTGTGGGATATGTAGTAGTAGTAACAAACGTATCAAGGAAGCAAGCGAAAAATGTAGAAGAGAGAGACGAGGGTGTTGCACTTGAAAAGTTTTCCTTGCACCACACCAAGTGAGATGTCAGTAGTTTTCAACCCTAGGACCAGTTGCAGTTTCAAAAACTGTAGGCAGTTAAGTTATTAATTCAATGTCTGACAGAGTATTCAGTATTGAACATATTTTCTTATTAGATGGAACTCAGTTCAAGCCAAGAATATCAAAGGATGATAAGCTATATGCATTTGTGCCCGAGATATGCAGGTAAATCTACAAATGAATAATGATTAATACAATAACTGTGAATACCTTAAATTTATCTTATATATATATATATATATATTTTTTTTTTTTTTGTAAAAAAGGTTAATTATTAAATATTATAAATTTAATTAATTTTCTGTGTGAAAAGATTATTTTTATAGTAAATGTTTCCTTTGTTTCAGATCTATATATGCTGTGTACGATAGTACGATTAAGGTACGCGATATTACCTTGTATCGTTTCACATCTCCTAAAGAACTCTACCTCTCTGGTGACGTGTACCCCCTGAATAAAGGCTTCTGTGTCCCCCCTGCATGTCTGCCTACTGGGTTACTGAATGTAACTCTATGCCAACCACAAAGTGAGTAGAAGATTTTGAGTTTTTTTCCCAATGCACAAATAGACTCTGATTGTGGAGTCGCACAGTTGAGGCTAACAATGATTAGACTAAAAGGTGTAGCTTGAATGCTTAGTGCACGGGCTATTAGATTGACATTTATTCTTCACAAAAAACGGCAGACATCTTAACCCTTCTCTTGTGTTCTGCCAATCGTGCGTGCTTTACACAACTTCACACAGCACGAGTGCGCGTTTTCTATTTCTTCAAAAAATTTTCACTTGTAAACCAACTGATTTTACGTTTACTGAAAACGAGATTCGTTTGTTCTTCAGATCCTCCAATAGCTATCTCTCCACCCCACTTCTACGAAGGCAATGTTTCATTAGTAGAAGCTGTTGATGGCCTTGATCCCAAAGCAAGTGAACACGCAACATATATCGACATAGAGCCTGTAAGTAACTTCAGATTACTCGGACTTCCTGTATGTGTTAAGAATGTCTGTTTGTGGTTCGGTCCAAAATCGTCCTCTAGGTTCTAAAGCGCATGTGGTCTAAGCCGCTGAGTTAAAAAACAAAGTCCCACACCTCCGAATAGTCTCCAATTAAGTCGTATTAACTAATCGTGAGAGAATCCTTCCAGCATCGTCTTTTCTCAAAGGTGTCGTGGGGTGAATTTATGTCTTCCGTAGAAAGTCCGAGTGAACGCCATCATACTATTAGTTCCTAAAGGACAACTGCTAATTGATAAGTTAATTTCTTATTACAGATTACTGGTATCACGATGCAAGCAAATAAGAGAATCCAGGTCAATGCACATGTCATGCCTTTTAGCAAACTACCGTAAGTTGGTGAACACCATAACTGGATTGCACAATAGGGATTGCCATTCCAAATTAACGTGTTTTTCCCGTTACTAGTGAGACGGACTCGAAAATGGCGCCTGTGTTCTTACCAATCATGTATGTGAATGAGGTGAGTGAGATTGAAAAGTACTATCTTTTAGAGAGACACTGGACAACGATGACACCAACAGCAACAGCGGCAGCTAGGACGATGACAACAACAGCAACAAAGGCAACTAAAACGGTGATAGTTTCGACAACAACAGCAGTAACAACTACATCTACGACAATAACTAACATAGCATGACAACGCCAATAAAAACAGCAACAATGATGTCTACAATGATTAAAGCTGTGACAACAAAAGCAGCAATGACTACTACGACTATGACAACTACGACTACAACTATGAAAGCTATGACAATGACAAAAGGAGCAATGAAAGCTATTGCAACTAAAACAGTAATAACAACAGTAATAACTTCACATATTATATTCAATACTTATATTTTTCAGAGTGCTAAAATAAGTGAGCATGATGCGGCGGATTTCCGTAAGCAAGTCTATGATAAAATCGAACTCACTAAGGGAATAGAATTTGGGTGCATTGCTTTGGGAGCCGTTCTGATTGCTGCCTCGGTGATTGTATTCATATTCCATGCAAGAAGGAAGGGATGGATCTTCAACAACAACAAAGATGAGGTATATTAGAATGCTTTGCACTAAGCTAAAGTGATTTCTGCATCAGAAGCAATTCGTTTTCATCTTTAAGTAGCTTTTATGACAAACTCCAAAAGCAGTTGGAAAGTATCCTTGAAGGGTAAAATGATTAACCTTCAGATGGTTATTCCAAAACTGTTTTCCCCATTTACTCCAAGAACTACCCCCTGTGCCCTATTCCCTAATACCCCAAACCCTAAAACCCCATCTCCTTTTCCTCAGTACCCCATTCTCAGTACCCCATTCACAGTACCCCATTCCTCAGTACCCCATTCCGTAGTGCCCCATTCCACAGTACCCCATTCCTCAGTACCCCATTCCGTAGTGCCCCATTCCACAGTACCCCATTCCTCAGGAGACCATTCTCAGTAGCCCATTCCTCAGTACCCCATTCCCCAGTACCCCATTCTCAGACCCCATTCCTCAGTACCCCATTCCTCACTACTCCATTCCTCAGTACCCCATTCTCCATTCCTCAGTACCCCATTTTTCAGTACCCCATTCCTCAGTATCCCATTCCCCCACCTTACTACCTCTTCCCAAGAGCCATTCCTATCTGTACTTCTACCCTGTACCCCACCCCTTGGTATAATTGCTCCCGGCTTTAATAGGGCATAGTTTAATAACAGCTTCTTCTGATTTTTCAGAAACTACTGAATGAACCCCCAAGGACATATGGTAACATAGAGACGTAGTTTGACCCTTGACTAGAAAAGTGGATTCAGGCTCTTGTGAGCGTTTTTTATCTTACATTAATCATGCAATAACAAATCACGTGATTAAGTTAGTAAATTTTAGAGACCATTTAATGCTACTGCTGACTAGCAATGAAAACATTAAGTCAGTGTGCAGTTCGGGATACAAGTTACGCCATTTTAATTGCTAGTTTTCAATCATTCCCAAGAGAATGGAATAACAAAAGACACGGCGGCCATGTTGGATGATATAACAAAAGATACTTATGACGTCATCCAACATGGCGGCTGTAAAACCATCAAGTAATTAAAGTGTCATTAGCTATATTTTTATGCTTACAAATTTCGTTTGAAAAAAAATATATTTGGTAATCTATATTTATATATTTTTAATGTTTCATGAAAACGAATCGAATTCTATTTTAAATAGGTTTTTACGATGTAATTTAGAATGTGGGAGAGGTTTTAAATAAAATTCAAACGCTTAAACGCATATGTTATCAATCTGGAATCTGGGTTGCAGAATTAAAATGGAGTTTGGCGTGTTTGGAAAGAATACAGGAAACTGGAGACCCCAAATCTGAAAAATAAATAAATTTTAGAATGATTTGAGTTATTTTAGTTGAACGTTTTCTCAAGGTTGCGTGCGCATCCAACTTGAAGGGCCACAAAACTGTATAACACAAATTTAGTAAAATTGAGAAGACAGTTTTAGATTTAAAGAGGAGAATAATAGATTTTATGAATTCTTATCGAAAAAAGTTCACACCAATGTATGACAATGCTCATGTTCTCAGTTTGTATCGCAACGGTCTATATTCATTTTCAAGAAAGACTAAAATGGYTTATACAAACTTTATTTGACGCTGATGGCTTTGAACGCWTACTCACTGCTTTCCATGTGGGATGCGATTAGCAAAACTAAACGGAACGTGCATCATAGTAAACTTGATCTATTTCAAAGTTTATCTGCTGCGGAAACATGATTTTAGGATTTTTACTTTTTTTGATTGATTTAAAAAGGACCATACTTCCAGACATCGAGTGCTGAACCGTCGTATGGCAGCGCGAAGCATTTACGGCTACGCCGGAGATTTCGGCCCCGACACCGCTATCCGAAGATTTACAGACTGATCAGGAAGCTCAGCCGAAGCCTAAGGGAGAGGTTAATCGGCCTCTAGACCGTATATGATTAGCCCCTTGCTATGACCAGCATACTCAAAATTCTTGATTGTGACGCCGATGGCTTTGATCGCATACTCAAGGCTTTCCATGTGGGATGCGTTTAGTAAAACTAAACGGAACGTCGTAGTAAATTTGGTCTATTTTGAAGTTTATTTGCCATGGAGACATAAATTTGGGATTTTTAATTTTTTTATTGATTACAAAAAGACCATACTTCCAGACATCGAGTGCGGAACCGTTCTATGTGCTATCCCAAGAGTTAAATAATATCGCTTCTTTCAATGATCATTCATCAAACATAAACATTCCTTCCCATGTGGGATGCGTTTTGAAAAGATGGCTTCGATATAAACGCAAAGTTGGTGTGCTTATAAGAATTGAGGCAGTACAGTTTCTATCCTTCAAGACACAATCTTGTTCCAAGAGGCTTAATTTCTTACTGCGCATGTTCGACTAAAGAACATGCGCAGTGAGAAATAACGCCTATTGGAAGGAAATTGTGAGATGTTCAGCTAGCCTGAAGTCCATGTTAGATGATTAGTTCTACTACGCTATTAGTGGAGATCAATGAATGTGGAACTGTCCATTGTTAGGATTTTACTTCGGGTTGTACCTTAGTATCAATCAATCAATACTGAGAACGTAGTGGTAGTGAACGTCAAGAAATAGTCCGTCAAAGTGCTTAATAATCGTATAGTTTCGTTTTATTGGTATTTTCGCTTGTTTTTGATCATTATTTGCTAGTTTTGTAACGATCCAACCGATCTGAAATGATAACGTCAGTGCTAAACCGAAATGTCATTAAGTGCGCGACAATCGCTCCAGCGCTTGTTCAGACGTCAATTTAAAACCGACACTATACTTTGTTTTATCTAATTGTATCAAGCAGGCTACGAAGGGTGACTCCTCAGTTTTGCAATTTCTTTCGATTATGATTGGCTAACATTTTCCTCAGATGAGCTGGATGCGCGCGCAAGTGATTCTTAACATGGAAGAGCGAGTTTTGTTGAAAGCGACGAGTAACAAATATTCGTCATTGATCACAGTTGACATAATGTACATATTAAATATGTATGTGATTTTGAAGCCTTTTTTTAACCAATCAGGGCGCAGGAGATCATTGATTAGGCAATAAAAATGCTCCGTCAAGGTCACGCCCCAAAAAGGTCAAACATACTTGGAGATCCGAAACGAAGAAAGGGGAAAAAATGGATTGTGGTGGTAAGATAGCTGCAATCGCTTTTCGTGAGAACAAGAATTCAAATATGTATGAATGGGAAAAGATTCTTTATCCCATTTATTAACTCATTCAATGTACACGAATGTAACGAAAAACGCAGTTTGGTTGGTGCTAACAAATGATGACATGTATCCATGACAACTGTTGCCATGGTAATGTTCATGGTGATGGTAGTTGGCCTTCTTCCTGTTCGCTTGGTTCTACTTTAGCTTCTTGTTGTTTTGATTCACGTGTTCTACGGCTCTTCCTTCTGCTAGATACGACCTCTCCTTCTTCTTGTCCGTCTGCACTCTGTGCTTCGCTTGAAGCCTTGTGTCTTTTTCTAAAGAAAGAGACAAAAGAAGTTAATGGAACACATCTGGACAGAAAGGGTAGAAGGGTCACGCCCTGTCCCATCCTTTTTAACCAATCAACATATACAATTGATTGACGTACACCAAAACCTTATTTTGTGGACCTAATAGAAACCATTCAAAATTCACTTTAATCTAGATTGGGCTCCCTGTGTTTCGACTAATTTGCATACAGACAAGCATGCGCAGACGCTTTTCACTTGTCTCTATTTTGTGAGGAAGGAAAATTGTAACGGAATAACTCTACTTACTTTTGTTCTTTCGATCTTTCTCGACGACTTGATCGTTCCTTGTGGAAAAATAATATTTTGTCAGTGGTCAACTAAACAGTAGATGATAAAAAAAAGTGTAGTAGGAGTAGTAGATTACCTCTCGTTTTTCTCGATCTCTGTCGCTCCCCTTTTCGCGATCTTTATCTCCGCGATCACGATGTCGTCTGCTTTCACGGTCACGATCACGGTCACGCCTGTCTCGGTCACGCTCACGCCGCGGTGACCGGTCACGATCTGAATGACGATCACGTGTTCTAGATATGGGAAGAGAAAATAGGATAAATAAACTGTTGGGTAGTATTTATGAACAAATACAAAATTGAAGATGTTAATGGGAAGAATGAAAAGAAAATGAAAAACTAGAAAAATGGAAAAAAGACCATTACATCAACCAAAATAAAAAAATGTTCTCCTAAAAACTTGAAATTGAAGAAAAAATTGATGGGAAAAAATAAAAATGGAAATGAAAGAAAAAATGGGAAAATTTAAAAAGTGAAAAGAAAATAGAGAATGGACCATGATATCAACCAAGATAAAAAAAACCCAGATCTTCTAAAAAACTTGTAAATAAAAAACAAATGATGGAATGAAAAATAAAAAAATCAATCATTTTAAAGTGTACCTTTCTCTGTGTTCTCTGCTTCTTTCTCTATCTTTATCTTTATCTCTTTTCTTGTGTTCTCGTTCTCGTCGCCTTTCATCTTCACTGCTCGCGTATTCACTGTCATCATCACTCCGTGGTCGCCCCGGGCTCTCTCCACCAGGCCGCGGAAGACCAACTGCAAACTGGTCTCGAAAGTTTGGGTGCATAAACCCTCGTCCCAGTCCTTCCCATGGGATACCGTGAGGGGGTGGGCCCATCATGTGCGGGAAGGGCTGCATTGGATCTGTATCAAACAGTAATATATTAGAATGAATCATGTGGATCCAGGATAACGTTCTATTGTTTGACACTAAAAGGTCCTTTTGGTCCATGCGAACGAGTGCTAACCCACGAAAACAATCATCAGAGACAAGAGTTGGAAATAAAAATATAACTAATGCGCATGCTCCAATAATGAATGAATGAATGRATGGATGRATGAATGAATGAATGAATGACGAATGGAAGTCCTGCCATCTTCAACCGAAGGGCAAGGGAAAATTAGACGATAAAAAATCCGTGTTGCAACTCTTACGACACGTGACTAATCGATGAATTCTTTTTGACTGCTTTATAGATGAAGCAGATAGATATTGAACTCAAAACCAATAATGGCGGACGTGATATTGCTTATGATAATTGACAAAGCAAGAGATACAAAAATTGGTGAAATACGTAATCATAGCGGAATTATGGAGAAACATTAGTATTTATTGACGCTAGCAAGCGCTTATTTCTCCATCTAAATGTTACGTCTCTACCACGTAATTAACGTGTATGAATGAACACTTGTTAAGAAATGAACTTTGCGATAAACTAACTTAAGTGAATATGTAGTTTATATCAATAGAACTTTGGGAGCACTTTATTGGCTTCCTGCACTTTATAGGCTGCCACCAGGAATCCGAAAAGCACTTTAGTGGCTTTCATAAGGAATATGAACAAAAAGCGTTTTTWAAAAAAATGACTTGCACAAGGAACAAAAGAACTCTTCACTTCAAAGGAAAAACTATTCCAATACATGCAAGAGTACTTTAATTTTGAGTGCGAAGCTTTGCCACATTTAGTTGGGATGCCGGTTTCTTCTGGACGCTTGTGTTTATTAGGAGACCGATCGAAAATAATCAAGATCACAAAGCAAACAACTGCAATAAAAACCTGAAATCATCTCCTATTTATCATGACTATTCATCATCGCGAATGTAGTGATACAATAACTTTCACAGAAGCGAAAAATTTGAAATCAGAAGTATCGGAAAGAAAAGAGGGAAAAAAAAAGAAAAGAAAAA